AATTATAATTCTGAGCTCCTGATTCTGTGGGGTATATAGAAAATGTAACTGCAAAAATGAGAAGTTGTGTAGTCTTTGACCATGATTAGAGACTTAAAGTTGGTGAAGTATGGCCTTCAATTCCTTTTATAACCACCGCTTTACTTTTTTTTGTTTTTTTCCATTACAGAGAATTTGTTATGCTCATGTCTTATTTTTTTAAATAGATCAAAGCACTTATGGGAGATTATGATGCTATTCATGTGCGCAGAGGAGATATCCTCAAGACAAGGAAGGATAGGTTTGGGGTTCATCGAAGCTTACATCCTCATCTGGATAGAGATACACGTCCACAGTTCATTCTTTGCAGAATTGCTAAATGGGTCCCACCTGGTCGGATTCTATTCATTGCTTCTAATGAGAGAACACCAGGTTTCTTTTCACCTCTGTCAGTAAGGCAAGTATTCTACTCAACATTTCACTTCCTTAACATGATTCGGGCCGGATGGCCGATTTGGTAAGTAAGGATGTTTTTACTTGGACTGTAATTTGTCCCAGACTAGACCAGAACAGAACAGACCAGATCAGACCAGACCAGACTTGGATAGTTATAAAAATACAAAGAAACCAGACCAATTCAGACCAGACCAGACCAACAAATTATAGTCCAAGTAAAAACATCCTAAAAGCCTTAAACCAATTTCAGGTGACTATGTAAGTCAAAGGTTGCATATTTTACGGATAAGCAGAATAAGCTTATTAATGCTGCCATGGCCTTGACCCAACCCCATATTCTGTGGAGGGGAAACTATTTTTCAATGTGGAAAATTTTACTATAAATATTTATACAAGTAAGTTAGTTTTTTTTGCTTTTCCATCATTTGCAATGGAGCCAAAGATTCATTATTTTTGGCTTGAGAATATGATGGAATAAAGCAAAATGGCTCACTAAACTGTCTGCGCTTCTTTGTTATGAAATAGCAGTCAACCCATGCAATTTTGGACGCGATTTTCAATATAGGTCATCCGGAAACAGTCTCTCTGTGCTTTAGTACAGAGGTAAGATTGCGTACATCCGACCCCCCCTTACTCCACCGTAGGTGGGAGCCTTTGCGGCACTGGGGTAAATGAAAATGAAATGATGAAGTAAGTTATTTTTTTGCCACCCCAAGTCCCCAAACTCAATTTTTTGGGGCCTTGTCTTCAAACTCTACATCGCTAAATGTACCAAATGAGGATTTTATACCAACAGGTTTGGTAACCTTATGGAAAAAACATCTTTTACACATTCATTGTGAAATGTTACATTCCTATAGTGCATCAACTACAATACGATTAGGAGATCTTATTTATTTGCAGGTACAAGTTGGCTTATGCTTCAAACTATAGCAGGATTTTGGATCCATTGGTTGAAAACAATTATCAGCTGTTCATGGTGGAAAGGTTAATCATGATGGGAGCAAAAACATTCATCAGAACATACAAAGAGAATGACAATGATCTTTCTCTTACAGATGATCCTAAGAAGAACACCAAGATATGGCAAATACCTGTTAACTATACAACGTATCCCAAAGATTGCTGAATACCGTATAATTCTTACCCAAGAGTTGCTGTGGCGTTTATTTGCAAAGAAAAAAAATTAAGGTGTGTACTTTTGATTTTAAGATAGGTGTCAAGAGCGCAAGTTAATTGTATTATTGTAAATTTTTGTGGACTTTTATGAAGGCTAAACCCATTAACAAAGTTTGAGGTGTTGGAAATTTTGATTGTTTTTCCAATGTCGATTTAATGCATAGTATTTTAGAAAATGATAGGGATAATTGTAGTGATAGATTAGTAGAATATGAACTAAAAACTAGAACATTCTCCTTTGTTATTTATTTACTAAGGCTTTCATTTCCATGTTTGCTAACACGCAATTGTGACCACTAGTACTGTTAATTAGATATTAGTAAAAATCATAAAAGAAACATATTTTAAAATTTAAAAGGAGAGAAAAAAGTGTTTTTTAAATTTTTAACACATTTTACATTTATAAGTATAACATCTTCACTCTTCAAAGTCTGTGAATAGTACAAAAGTTAACATATAACAAAAATGGTAATTACTTAAGAACAAAAGTAGTACGAGTACTATATAAAACGAAAAGGCATGTAATAAATAGAGAAATGAAGGAAAATTGTATTGAGGTGACTTGTGTTATTGTGTGTGAATGTAGTACGTGAGCGTATTTTGCATGTTGTGATAAATGATATATGTCTCAAAAAATACGCCGATGTAAAAATACATCTAGATATATTTTTAAATCATGCATATGATGGACATAATACAGAGTATGTTTTTTTCAGGATAAATATGATGAAAGTGTTAGTTTGATAACTTTTTTTTCCGCGTTTTACAATAAAATATTTTTTGAAAGGAATGAACGAACTGCATAAACAAAAATTATACGGAGGAATAGAAATCATTTAGAGGGAAAGAAATTAAATAACATCAAAAGTTTTATAAGATGCTAAAACAAAATTTAGTTCTCAATTGACAATCTGTTACGACTTGCGAGTACATGATATAGTGCTTGTAAAAAAAGGTTCAAAATTTTAAAATAAAAATCACCATGAATCTCATACATGCGTGTATATGGACATGGATTGTACGTATATACTAAGTATTATTTAGCTATGTTTATGTATTATCAAATAATGATTTTAAATTGGTTGGATCCTTGATGAATAAGAATATCATTTATCATATCTGATTCATTTATCAAAATAAATAACAGGTTCAGATTCGAGTGAGATAAATGAAATTAAGCATAGACTCATTGAGTCATACCGGTTTAAAAGGTGTGTCTGAACCAAATCCAGTTATCCAGGTCTATACCCAATGACAATTCTAGTGGTAGACCGGGTCCGCTCCGGTTCGGGCCTAGGCCCGGACTAGCTTGGATGGTTCCGGGCTGGGCCGGTTCCGGTTCAATTTTTTTTGCTTTCTTATTTATTTCAACCCCACCCCTCCCATCCACCCACCCCCAAACCCCTCGGAAAACACCCAACCTAGTCTAACTACACCCAGCCCAAACCCAAAAAACCAAAAAAAGGCCCGAACCGGGCCCGGCCGGTTCACATTTTTCAAGACCCGGAACCGGAACCGCTTACCCCCTCGGGCCGGGCCTAAGCCCGGAACCGAAACTGGTTTCCCGGGCCGGGCCGGTTCCGTACAGAACCGGGCCGGTCGGCCCGAACTAGGACTGAGCAAAACCCGATCCGACCCGAAAAACCCGATATTTTTTCGGATATTATCCAAACCGAAGTGGATATCTGACCCGAAAAACCCGAAACCGAAAATCCGATTAGTATTGGGCCTAGACCGGGTGGCAGGTAGGGTTTGTGAAATCCCGACCCGCCCGAATATCCGAAATATATGTTAGTGTGTATTTTGAAAATTTAAAATTAATACTTGTGTTTAATTATTTGTGTAATTATTTATGCAATTTGTATTAAATTGTTTGTGTAAATTGAATGTGTAGTGCACTAGTGTGTACAATTTTTGTCAAAGTGGCATTCCAACACTTTAGTTATCCAATTATAATGTGTTTTAATATAACCGAAATATCCGAAATATATTAAATTATGTAGTGTGTACTTTGAATATGTTAAATTAATATTTGTGTTCAATTATTTGTGTAATTATTTGTGCAATTTGTGTTAAATTATTTGTGTAATTTGGAAGTTTAGTGCACTAGTGTGTACAATTTTTGTCAAAGTGGCATTTAAACACTTTAATTATCCAATTATAATTTTTTTAATATAACCGAAATATCCGAAACCCGACCCGATATCCGATAATATCCGACTTAAAAATATCTGAAATACCCGATTTGGAATATCAAAGGGTCGGGCCTAGTATTTAAATTAAAAAACCCGAACGGGTTTAGGGTGTGCAGAACCGAACCGTGCACAGCCCTAGCCCGAACCGAGCCCATGCCTAGAAAATTCTATACCTGGGTCACATTTTTATCCACTCTATTTATTTTGTGTTATTTTAGTCATTATTATTAAATATCATTGGAAAAAGGGTCTAATAAGCCCTTCTACCATCTCCAATCCGTCACATAAGCCCCTATACTAAAAAAATATTATATAAGTACGTCTACTTTACAAAATTGATCAATTTGACCATTTAATCAGCTTTGACTTGTAATAGCAGCATTTTAATATTTAAAAACTTGAAAAAAATTGTTAAAATTTGAAGAAATATATACAAAAATTATGAAAATTTTCAGAATATCAAAGTCATTATTTTTTATTTTTAAAAATATTTGTATATCCTACATCTATTTAAAGGTTCTAAAATTTTTATTTTCATTTTTTTAGTTTCTTTTTATTTTTCCAGTTTTATGATTTTTTTTATTTTAATGTTTTTAAAATTTTAAAATCTATTTTTACATTTATATTATTTTCTATACGGAGTATTATTATTAGATTATTATATGATTTTTTGTAAGATTTATCAATATTCCTAATTTAATTTTGAGAGAATTCCCTAAATAGGAGTAAAAACGTTTTGAAATTCCAAAATAGGAGTATCATGTTTTTTTCCCTGAATAGGAGTAAATTTCTGTCAAGGTTAGCATTACAAAGCTTTTAAACAAGGCATTTTTTTCAAACTTGGCAGATTACTCCTATTTAGGGAATAAATAACATGATAATCCTATTTTGGAATTTCAAAACATTTTTACTCCTATTTAGAACAATTTCTGTTTAATTTTTATTAAAATAACCTGCTATACATTTTTTAGTAAATGGACTTAAGTGGAAGATCGAAGATAGTAGAACGGATTTAACCCTTTTAATGAAATGAGGAGAAGTGATTAAATAAAAGTTTATAGTGTTTGAGAAAAAAGTGATTTTGAAAAGTAAAAGTTGATAGTGTTTGATAAAAGAAGTGCTTTTTAAAGCCAAAAGTTGAGAAGAGATTTTTTAAATGGTTGCAAACCAACCCATATCACAAAGCAAAAGCATTTTCAACTGAAATAAATCGGATAACGCAATAACTGAAAGCCCTCTTAGGGTTTTAAGAGCTCTGTATCACTGGCACTCAGGAAGTTGACAGTCTTCATTTCCCGGGTCGAATTCGCAATTGGCTATGTGGTCACTTCGCCGAGCTTCTGCTACTCTCAGGTAACCGCCACTGCACTGAGTGTTGAAACTCTCATTTCTCATACGATGGTACACTTATGTAACTTTCTAACAGGATTAATTAGAGGGGAAGCTTTATTTTTTCTCTTAGCTTTAGACCCTGATAACTGTTGGCATGCGAAATGGGATCACCGGATTAGGGAAGAAGACGAATAGGAATCCCTGATGTCCAAATAATAAAAAGTCAAAGGTGTGATTGGGGTAGATTTTGGGTGCCTTGTCAATTGATTGGAACATCACCAACTCATATCCAATAAGTAGTTAAATATTGTTTAACTAATGCAAAACCGCTTTTTGAAATGAGCTGGTCTATTGTATCTTTCAAGTAATCTATCTGGTCAGCTATGGTGCATTGCTTGTTCCTCTTATTACTTAATTGATGTAGAGATTGAAATTTTCTACAAAATTTCCTCTTGTGACTTGTGAGATTCATTCAAGATTACTATGCCAGGAAATGAACTGACCTAATTGGTTGTTGATTACTATGCCAGGAAGCAAGGATTGGGGATAGAAAATAGTTACTCTAGGTTTGCTACACTGCCGTGTGTATCAAATCGTTTTTTAGAAGACTGTGACAAGGGAGTTAATTTTCCTGCTAAAGTTGTATATGGAGGGATTTTATCAAGAAAATTTCACAAGAGGGCTTCTAGTGCACATGTAGAATTTTGGGGCACATGCAGGTTCTCTACACAGGTAGACACATCGAACACTGGTGAGGAAGATAATGAGCTGGACGATGGGTTTTCTGATCTTGAAGCTCCTGCAATCCAAAATGACCTTGCAGATAACCATGAGGAGTTAGTCTCAGAGCCAGACCTTGCTGAAGACGCAATTGATGTTTTAGAGCAAGAAGTTGAGGATTCACTGGATACGGTGGCTCCTGATAAATTATCTAAGAAAAGATTTGGATCTACCTTATTCAAGGAAATTTTGGACAATCCCACATCAGATTTTGGTGCTATCGTGACTAATTGGAAAAAGAAAGGAAATGAATTGACCCGCCCGGTAGTAACAGAAGTCATGGTAGGCCTTCGGAAAAGGCGCTTGTTTGGGAAAGCGCTGCAGGTAGTTTTCAATCTTTTACCATGTACTCCCTCCATCCCATAATGTAAGATACATGGTTTGGTGCGGTGTTTGAGAGAATAAAGGATAAGGTGGTGTTTTACAATTCTAATCTTCAAACAGTAAGAAAAAGTACAACGGGACCATAAAAAGTTAAGAGTGAAATGATAGAAAAATGGATAAAGTAGGAAAGTAAAAAGTTAACGAAGTTCAATTTGAGAAAGTGTTCATATTTTGGGCACAACCCAGAAAGAAAAGTGTATCTTACAAAATGAGACTGGGTAGTAAATAGTAATGTTTAAGGTAGTTGCTTAATATGCATATTTTTTTAGATTTGGTAGCTCGCATTTATACTTTATAGTAAAATCTAACATCTGTGGTTTTGTCCAAGGTCTTAGAATACACAGAACAAAAATAGATTGATCATTCCTGGTGATTGGGTAAATTTAGACTTCTAGCCCTAGGAATTAAAGTTTGTCATTGGATCTACCGAACGACCAGAAAGGTTAATACCCCGATATTATATTATTCCAAAAGTGAAGCCATTAAAGCCATTACAAGCAAATAAGTTGTAATCCTAATGCAACTCATAATTACTAGTAGACTTGGACTAAAAATAATAAGGAACTACTTACAAATAAATGAATAGAAAATAAGAATCATCCTTCATTCTTATGATGCATGTCGTTGTGGATTCCTTTGGGGCCACATGTACAACCGGTGCACAAAGAATCCAAAGGCCCGTAGGTCAACACTGAAATTTAAAATAAGGATATTGTTTCATATCATCATCATCATGATTATTATTATTATTAGCCCCTCTGTCGCGTACAAAGGTTCCCACGCAGTTTACGATGTTTGACTAACCACCATAAAGTTAATTGATCCCTGTCCGTAATAAGATTATTTTTAGTAAATACGGAGAACAATTTACAAATTTAGAAACTACATTTAAAGTTTTTATAAAGTCGCAAAAAACAAAATCAAATTTGACAAAAGTTAGATGCATAAAGTAAAAAATTAAGAAGACTTTATGTTGGCCGGAGAATAGTGGACGGGAACATTTGAATGGGACAGAGGTAGGCTTATATTTCTTTATTTGAGTTTAAGTCAACAAGCAGAAGAGGCTGAAGTTGGAAATAAGGATATTTATTGTTTCCTATTAGTTATTATACATTTATACTCCCTCCATTCCATTGGACTTTGCCAACTTCCTTTTTTGGTTGTCCAAAAAACTCTGTCACTTTCCCATTAAAGTAACTAATTTGCGATTTTGTTCCTTTTCTTATTTCTTATCTTATCTAATTCAAAGTTGGTAAAGTCTAATGAGACGGTAGTAATATTTCTCAATCTTGTTTAGTCAATGTTTTCAGTTCTTATTTCCCTTCCTATTGTGAACTCTAGCAGGCTCTTTATTTCAAGGGTTTTTTGTTATGAAACACATTACTTTTTGGAGAGTTAATTTTTGTGTCTTGACAAGCTCAGGCTGATAGGGACATGGATAGACAATAATAATAAGAATAATAGAGTATTATTAAACAGGGTGTTGTTGTATAAATAAATGTTTTAACTTCTAGGCCATGCAATTCAGGAAGTATGGACCGGCCGTTAGAAATAGAAATTCTATAAAAGGGGGGAGGGAGGAATAGAGGAGGAGAAATTTAGTTGGGATTGGGACTTGGGAGTGCTGAAACTACTCTAAATGTTCTACCTTTCTCCTTCCTTCTGTGCTACTTTCTTACGTTGAATTGTAATCCCATAAGGAATCTGAGAATTTCCTCACCATTCCGGTGTTGAATATAGAAAAGTATTCTTCTAGAATTGGAGTTTTTGTCACATGCACCGGTTAATTTAACAATAAGATTAGCTTCGTTTAGTTCTAACGTTTCCAGATATTGCAAACCGGTGATGCACCGGTGATGTTTTAAGATATTTGCTAAAGCCATGTCCATTACATGATTGATATTGCAAACCGAACATGCATATCGCGAAGCATCATGACCATTCAATTAACAGAACATTGTGAGTGTGAAAATATTAACTTATAGGCTTCTCAGCTTTATTTCTTTACTAAAGTATAAGATGTCATAACTTAATAATTTTACTTGCACGCCCGTCTTAATGTGATTTGAAAAATAAGCAAAATCATTTGGACCTACCACCTTAATTTGACAGCTATCTGAGTGGATGGAGTCATCTGAGGAGATTGATTTGACCGATAGAGACTATGCTTGCCGTGTTGATTTAATTGCCAAAGCCCGCAGTTTACAGAAGGCCGAGGCTTATTTGCGGAAGATTCCTAAACAATTTTGTGGTGAACTAGTGTACCGAACTCTCCTAGCCAATTCTGTTTATACATTGGATGTGAAAAAAACCGAAGAGATATTCAATAAAATGAGGGAACTTGGGCTCCCACTCTCGAGCTTTGCTTTCAATCAGATGATTGCTCTTTATAAAAAAACTGATAAGAAGAAGATTTCCGATGTCCTTTTACTCATGGACAAAGAGGGAGTGAAGCCATCTCGCTACACATACCTATTATTGATCGACATCAAGGGCCAAGTAAAGGACATTGATGCCATGGAAAAAATTGTAGAGACGATGAAAAGCGATGGATTCGAACCTGATGTCTACATAAAAGGATCAATAGCCAAACACTATATTGCCGGTGGTTGCAATGAAAAAGCCGAGGCTGTAATGAAGGAGATGGAAGAAGGGGACGAGAAGGAACGCCGTTTTGTGCGCACATTGCTCCTTCCTCTCTATGCTTCCCTTGGCAAGGCAGAGGAAGTTAGCAGAATCTGGGAAGCTTGCAAATCCAAACCAAGTGCATACGAGTGTCTGGCTGCAATTCCTGCTTGGGGAAATTTGAAGAAAATTGAAGAGGCAGAAGAGGCCTTCGAGACATTGCTAAAAAAGCATGTAAAGTCAAAAGATCTCATTTCGAAAGCCTACCATGTTTTATTAAGTGTGTATGCTGAACACAAGATGTTGGAGAAAGGGAATGAGCTTGTGAAGAGGATGGGGCAAAACCATTGCCAGGTGGGGCCATTCACTTGGGATGCACTTGTTAAGCTTTATTGTAATGCTGGAGAAGTGGAAAAGGCTGACTCTATACTGAAAAATGCAGCCACAAAGGGTCAGAAAAAGCCACTGTACAGATCCTATGCCACCATCATGGAGCAATATGCAGCAAAAGGCGACATACACAACTGTGAGAAGATGTTATACAGAATGAGGCAGGTGGGGTACACATCCCGGCTTAAACAATTCCAAACACTTCTTCAGGCATATATAAATGCCAAAGCTCCCGCTTATGGAATGAGTGAGAGAATGAAGGCTGATAACATATTTCCGAACAGAACATTGGCTGGCTTGTTGGCTCAGGTTGATGGATTCAGACAGGCCGAATTGTCGGAGATACTGGATTGATTAGCTTCTGGTACTGGGGTAGTTAACAACTGAACTGTAGAATTTGGTCTGCTTATTATGATTTTGTAGTCCTTCATCTACTTGTGATGTTTAATGCGTTTTCTTGTTATGTTTCACTTTAACAATGTGATCGGCATGGTGATTCATTTTAAATAAATGTAACTATTGCCTAGGTTTTGACAATGTTAGGAAAAATAATACCAAACGAAATGCCATGGACAACAATGGATCGGTTTTAAAAAATTTCTAAAAATAGACTAAGGTGACTTTTATACCCCTAACTCAAAGTAACTGTTCTCCAGTGACCATGACCTGGTGACCATGACCAAATGACTTACTGACCACTGCAGGCCACTGCAGTTAGAGTTACTAGTGAAGTATTTCAATATAAAATTTTGATTCATATGTACTCCATTAACGTTTGATCAGAATACAAAACCAGTCCAAAGCCAGAGTTATGTAACTCGATCTTGGGCTCCTGTATATAAATGCAGAAACATCCAATACAGGACCAAAGTCAACCTAATATCAGGAAGGACTGGTCCACCTTCTTTTAGCTCTAACTTTGTCAAACTTCCATTTGTCTCCACATAATTGGAGACGTAGAAGGAGCTATGTGAGAGTTATCAGTTAGATAAACTCACCATAAATATTACTATATTAGGTTTTCAAAATGATAATAACATTTCAATTACTATTGTACCCTCCGTACTGCACAAACAATGACTTTCATATTCAGGGTTATTTGGTTGATGAGTTTGTACCTAATCTCAACCCTATACACAGCACGCACACATAATATGGAGGTTTGCAAGTGCTAGGCAATGCGCCTGGATTGGTTTCCACAAAAACACCGATTTTAAGGGCTTGTGTTGAAGTCTTGTAACACCTTGATTTAGTGAGCTTTTTTTTCTGAATATTTATTGAACTAGTTACTAGTTATATGAAACATTATTAATTATTTTAGTTGATTAATAAATAAGTTTCTTATATGAATTGTTGGGTAAATGGCCCCGAACAGGAGTCCGGCCCAATTACCCCCAACCCGACGTACGTCGCCCAGCCCGCGGATGACCCTGGCCTGAAGGAATGAGGACGAATGTCTATCTCCGGGATAACAGCACAAGGTCCCGGCCGAGGGTCGGTTAGCACATCCATGGCGAGCGTCGTCAGCCGAGGCCCATCTCCGTAGATGGCCCAGGCCCAGAAGATTGTTACGTCCTACAAAGGGCCGCAGACGAACGGCCCCCGGTTCTACCAGACGACCGCGGTCAGGAATTAGGCGGGGAACCCGGATTCTGGCGGGAAGCGCATTTAATGCTGGAGATTTGGTGGTTGGGCCACAGCCACTAACAATCCTCCACATCATCAAGACTAACTGCCCATTGGCGGGTATAAATAGTAGCATTTATTTCATTGTAAGGGGTTGGCAACTTTCTATTCTTAGCATACTAGCTTCAGCATTCTTACTTGCAGCATTTCTAAGTGCCTTGTGAGACGAACGGCCGACGTGCCTCTTTAGCAAGTAGATTGTACTTAGGGGAGTTATTACGAAGTTAATAATACCTATTTACATTGCCTGCTATCACTCTTGTTTCCCGATCCATCTGACAGTTGTTGGGCTAGATATCCACACACTCACTCCACTCGAAATCTTTGGGCTTACGTGTTGGGTCCAAGGGTTGAAGGAATAAACCTCAACACTGGCGCCGTCTGTGGGAAACTGAGCAAAAAGTTTCCAGAAACTCTCCCAAACAGCTACTAAGTCTACCTACAGCAAACACGATGTCAGGAAGCAACAACCAGCGTGATCTCTCCGAGCGTCTGGAATCAAGCCGCCGGAATCGCGGCCAGAACTCGGAACTGTCCGCAACAATATGGACCTCCGGGGGGAACGGGGGTATCACTGACCTCATTCCTCTGGAGGCCAGGCAGGATCCTCGCCTCATGCGGGAACTCGCAGACACCATGCGTCGCTTGGCAGACGAGCGGGAGGCCCGAGACCAGGTGTACTCTGCGAGTACCCAGCGAACGCCCCTCTCTCCCATACGCCGCATGCAGTCGTATGACGATACAACAGGATCCAGCGACCATCGGCCCTCAGTCCACGAGCGGCTAGGTGGGGGTTCAGGCTCCCGTGGAACGGGAGGGCGAACCAGAGTCAGCATCGCTGCATCCAGGGCTCACACACCATCAGTCCCCCGCCAAATCCCGCGAGGAGACGAGACCCCGAGGATCAATACCGTTGGACGACGTTTCCAACGGCGAGGTGCGCAGATTTTTAGGCGGCCGCACGATGCTGTGGCCGCTCAGCAGAATGCCGTCCCCGAAGCCGCGCCCCCTGTGTCCCCCGGAAGGGCCGCACAGGATGCAAGGTTGGAGGCCATGGAAAGGCAGATAGCCGAGATGAATAGGCGGGCGGACGTCGGCTCGGCCACACCCTCTTTCTCTCTCACATCTCCCTTTACTCCACGAGTGATGAGCGTCGAGATTCCCCGGGACTGCAGGCCCCCGGGCAACTTGGTGTACAATGGGGCTGGCGATCCCAAGGCCCACCTGATAAGCTACCAAGGGAACCTGTCCATGCTGGGAGCATCAGACGAAGCCATCTGCAGATTGTTCTTCAGCACCCTCAGGGGGCCGGCGCAAGAATGGTTCGGCCAGTTGAGGCCAGGCACCATCGACTCGTACGAACAGCTCTCCCAACAGTTCATGGCGCAGTTTGCTGCCAGCACCACCCCCAGGAAGGACGTCACGGCTCTCGCCCACATCAAGCAAGGGCGGGACGAACCGCTGGCTAGGTTCCTGGTACGGTGGAGGGACGAGGTCCTACAGGTCGACGATCTGGACGAACGTCTGGCCACCAACATGTTCACCAGTGCGCTGGCCACAGGAGATCTATACCGGGACCTAAGGAGGAATCCCGGCACCAGCTACACCGAGGTTCTTGCTCGGGCTCAGAAGTATGCCTCCATTGAGGAGGAGATCAGGCAGCGGGACGGAGTTCCCGCGGCCCACCCACGGAAGATGGCGGACAGGCTCGGGCCCGGGCCGGGACCCGGGCCCTCCCCCCCAAACAAAAAGAAGAGGACAGACGGGGCGATGGTCCCCTGGAAGGCTCCGTCCGGGGATACTCAAGCACGACCGGACGACCGCTATGTCCCATTGGCCTATCCAGTGAGCCAAATCTTTGAGGCCATCAAGGACAAGGGCCTCCTAACGGAACCCCAGGATATGAACAAGCATATGGGGCACGACCAATCGGCCTACTGTGAATACCACCAGAGGACCGGCCACCTGACGGATAATTGCAGCCAATTAAAGAAAGCGATCGACGAGCTGATCCGCCAGGGGTACCTGGGCGAGTTCACCCAGCTGCTGAACAAAAACAGCCAGCAGAAGCCGAACTCAAGGCACAAGACATGGCGCCGCGACGATCGGCGCGAGGCAGAACCTCAGGACGTGGATTATCGAAGCGCAGATAAACGTCCGGAGGGATCCCTCGGCCCGAAAGGCAAGAAGAAGAAATTGGAGATCAAGGTGATCTTCGGGGGCGCTGAGACAGGGGATACACCCGCCGAGCGGAAAAAATTTGAGAGGTCACTCTATGTGGGTTCCGTGTCAGCACCCCCCACCAAGCGCAATAGAGTCGAGGCAATTACCTTCGGCCCCGCTGACCTGCCGATGTCACCGGCGCCGCACAGAGACGAGCTGGTGATCAGCATGGACGTGAACGATGCTATCGTCCGTCGCGTCCTCGTCGATACCGGGAGCAGTGTGAACGTCCTCTACTGGGAGGCTTTCGAAGGAATGAGGCTCCGGAAGGACATGCTGCACCCCCTGCGCACCCCGCTGTCCGGCTTCACCGGGGATTGCATTGACGCCGAGGGCACCATCATTTTACCGGTAGAGGTCGGCGACGGCCCTCACACTGCCCGGATCAGCATGACGTTCGTCGTGGTCCGCCTAAAGTGCGCCCACAACGCCATTTTGGGCCGACCCGGCTTGGAAGACTTGGGGGCCATATGCTCCGTACGACATTCATGCATCAAATTCCCCACCGACACTGGAGTGGGGGTGGCACGTACGGACCCACACATGGCCAGGGCCTGCTACACGAAGGCCATGGAGAAGCTCAACGAGCGGGAGGCTCGGGTCAACAGCATCTCCGAAAAGGCCAAACAGGCCGACTTGGACGCTCATCTGGAACCAGCGACTCTGCTGGAGGAAATTGAACTCGACGATCCGACGGATAGGAAGGTGTCCATCGGTGCGGATCTAGAGCCGGAAATCAGGGCAGGGGTCATAGCCGTCCTCCGGAGGTTCAGGATCTTGTTCGCCAGAGGGCCGGAGGACATGCCGGGCATCGACCCCAACCTCATCTGCCATAAACTCGCCGTGCGGCCGGAGGCCAAGCCTATACAACAGAAGAAGAGGTATATGGCAGCCGACCGACGCGATTTCATCAGGAAGGAAACAGCAACTCTCCTCAGCATCAAACATATCCGGCCAGTCATCCACGTGGAGTGGTTGGCCAACGTGGTACTAGCCCCAAAGGGCGACACTTGGCGGATGTGCGTCGATTACTCGGACCTCAACAAAGCTTGTCCGATGGACCCTTACCCTGTCCCGAGGATCGACCTGCTGGTGGATGAGACAGCAGGCTGCGAGCTGCTCAGCTTCATGGACGCATTCAGGGGCTACCATCAGGTGTTCATGCACCCCGATGATGCCGAAAAAAACGGCGTTCGTTACGGCGGACGGCGTGTATTGCTACATCGTCATGCCTTTCGGCCTGAGGAACGCCATGGCTACTTTTCAGAGGATGATCGGGATGTTGTTCAAAGACGTACTTGGGAAAACAATGGAAGCTTACGTGGATGACATCCTGATCAAAAGCAAGAATAAGGAGGACCATGTCCAGGACATGGAGAGGGTCTTCAGCATCATGGAGAAGGCCAGCATGAGGCTCAATCCGAAGAAATGTGCCTTCGCCGTCAGGGGCGGCAAGTTCCTCGGCTACATGATGAGCGAGCGAGGGATCGAGCCTAACCCGGAGAAGGTGAAGGCGATTATGGACATGGAGGCCCCAAAGAACCTAAAGGACGTGCAGCGGCTCACCGGGCGTCTGGCGGCCCTGAGCAGATTCTTGTCCAAGCTGGCTGATAAGGCGATTCCCTTTTTTCAGATCATGAAGAAGGCCAGTCCCTTTCAATGGACCCCGGAGTGCCAAACTGCTTTCGAAGATTTCAAGGTATATCTCTCCTCCCCGCTC